ATAACCGCACAATTTCCATTCTCTCTCATTCCCCTCGTGATTTGACGCGATCGGAGTTATAAAGGCTACCAGTAGTACCATTGCCGTCAGAAACGCGCCGCATTCTGCACGTCTATTGCTATATCAATAACAAGTAGAATCTTACGAAACATCGCGGAGAAAGCGTCAGTCATATACAAAGTTCGCTATTGGTGAACGAACATTCACCAGGACGTTCGGCGTGCAAATGGCTACGCGTTGTAACAATTTTGGCGTTGTTTCAGGTACCAGAGCAAATGGCCTTCTACACTTGAAGAATGGCGTAGATTACATTAATCCTGGTGAAGAGGACCAGATGGAAATTTATGGGTATGTCATTTGCATTACGTCAAGTAATCATAAATGAATTCTCTTTGAAAACCTCGCAGTCCACTTAATTTTCGCTTATTATTGTTACAGTTATAGACGAAACCATGCACGGACCGTTATTATCTGGTTCCTGATTGTCATTACTGGAGGTCTGCTGAGGCTGATATTCCATTGGGTACCGCATCTCATGCTTCAAGCCACCCACATAAAATGCTCTTTGGAAGAGGCAGAAACCGTTTTGTTAATTGAAAAGTTTCAAGGAAAACACACAAGTTATTACGTGAAGAAGTTGAGGAACGTGACCGCTAAGGAAGTTATGTTAGTAATGTATCAAACAAGATAATAAAATGAATATTAGCAATTATTATTTTTATATAAGATATTATATAAAAATTATTAGATTAAAGAAGATGTATTTAAAATTTATATAGAGAAAGAGAGAGAAAGAGAAAAATAGGCATCAAGCCTCGATCAATTCTTTACTTATTTTTAAATTGTTATTTTATTTTATAGTAATAAATCTTTCCATGAAGAATCTCTGATGGATGACGCATGGGATGGCAGTGTTATAACCACCAAAGAAGAAAAGGAAACTTATGCAATGTTATCTGTGCATCTTTTTGGGGGTCAATTCAAACGTGAGTAAAAATCAGTATGCTTTTTTGCGTCATTGTTTGTGCATTTCAGACATAAGGGAATATTTTTAGAGGTGCCATCCATTACCATTTTCAATTGCAAGAAGCTGACTTACGTCTGGGACCCGGAGAGATCGGAGTTTTTGAAATTGCGTGGCCTCGATACCGACGTTTTAACATCCACATTACATCAAGCACAAGGTCTTAGTTCTCAGGAACAGTACATGAGGTAAAAGCTGAACTATATAATTTGAGTGTCTTTTGTTTCCATTTCCATCAATATAGATTAACTTTAATCTCAACTTACTCATCATCTTTTTCTAATTTGAAAAACTATAAAAAGATGAAGAGTAAGTTAATTAAAACTAATCTATATTGATAGAAATGGTCACTAATGAAAATGAGTCATAACTCAATTATGACATTTTAATGTCGTTTAAATTAATTAATTGGACTATTTACATCGATAGGCGTAATGTTTATGGCAATAACGAGATTGTGATTCCCGTGAAGAGCATATTAACATTGTTATGCCTCGAAGTGCTCAACCCGTTTTACGTCTTCCAATTATTTAGTTTTTGTTTGTGGGTCGCGGACGATTATTATTACTACGCCATGGTCATTCTCGCGATGTCAAGTGCCGGCATTATAATGGCAGTTTTTCAAACACGACGAGTGAGTCACTTTTCCTTTTTTTTTATAGTTTCTATATATCTCGTGTTATGATCAATCTGATCGAATTTTGTTCATCTTAGAATCAGCATAATTTGCGATCGACGGTACATTCATCTGACGTTGCCACGGTGATGCGAGATCGTACAATCGGCCAAACTGCAATAGTGCCGGCCGAACGCTTGGTGCCCGGTGACGTTTTGGTAATTCCGTCTCATGGATGTCTAATGCCATGCGATGCCGTGCTGCTGACTGGCAATTGCATTCTCAATGAGTCTATGCTGACGGGGGAATCAGTACCTGTCACAAAGACACCAGTTCCTTCTTCCAATGATGTGATATATAATACCAAAGAACATGCTAGGCATACGCTTTTCTGCGGTACCAGAATTATTCAAACAAGATACTACGGTAGTGAAAAGGTAAGTCAACTTATTTAACATATAAATTTTATATTTGTAAATTGGTATTTTAATGTTGTGTAAATGGAAATGATTGTGTTGTAACATTAGGTTCTAGCTGTGGTTATCAGAACAGGTTTCAATACCAGCAAAGGTGATCTTGTGCGATCCATTATGTATCCCCCACCTGTGGATTTCAAGTTCGAGCAAGACTCATATAAATTCGTCACATTACTAGCATGCATAGCCAGCATCGGCGTTATTTATACTATCGTGTCAAAAGTAATGAAAAGCATTGACAGTAGTCATGTTGCTTTGGAAGCGTTAGATCTCATCACTATTGTTGTTCCGCCGGCGTTACCAGCTGCCATGACGGTTGGACGTCTCGTAGCGCAACGTAGATTGGAAAAGAAAAAAATATACTGCACGAGTCCGAGAACGATTAACGTGTCGGGATCCATCGATTGCATTTGCTTCGATAAGACTGGAACATTAACCGAAGACGGTTTGGATATGTGGGGCGTGGTAAGTGTATCAGATGGCAAGTTTCAGTTACCTATCAAGGACATCGCTAGTCTATCGTTATCCGAAGTTCTTATTGGCATGGTTACATGCCATGGACTCACCATAATCGATAATCAATTGATGGGTGACCCGCTCGATTTGAAAATGTTTGAATCCACTGGATGGACGCTGGAGGAACCTGATGTATCTGATACATCTAAATTTTCTATGCTTTTCCCGACGATCGTCAGGCCAGCAAAAAACTCTAAGCTTCTTAAAAGACTGCCCAATGATTTGGGCGATACGCTCAGTCGACAAAACTCCATGTCTTCCGATGTGGTAGACGGTATATCTCTCAATAATTTATGCGATGCCGCGTTTAGCGATTCTGCGACGGAACTGGGCGAACAAGGACTGGAAGTAGGCATTGTCCGGCAGTTTCCTTTTACATCCAGTCTTCAAAGGATGAGCGTGATTACCAGGACATTGGGTGCCAATCATTATGATCTTTACTGCAAGGGTAGTCCAGAGATGATCCTCACTCTCTCAAGAGCAGAATCCAGTAAGTCTTTACAGTTGTATTATATTTTGTAAGTGACTAATGGTGAGGAATATAGAGAGGAGGATAAGAAATATTTGTCAGACGATAACGAATAACGTGAAGAGATCTTTCGTCTACTCGTAAGACGAGTGGGTTACACAATAAATTTGTGTCAAGCATTTCTTATGAATTCAATCTTGAGTATTTTATCGTGCAATAATGAAGAGTCACGTTAAGTTTAAAGTTTTACAATTTAATATAATCTTACGTAATCATTAAATCTTACTGTTTTAATTCTATTAATACAAATGACATCTCTATTTGTTCTTTTTGTAGTTCCTCCAGATTTCACAGCTATTTTACAAGAATATACATCCGAAGGATATCGAGTGATCGCTCTCGCGCACAAATCTCTGAATCGTCTTCCGTACGCCAAGGTGCAACGCATAAATCGTGAAGCTGCCGAGATTGATTTAACATTCTTAGCGCTCATAATTATGGAGAACCGATTGAAACCCGAGACTTCACCGGTGATCGCCGAACTGAATACTGCATGCATTAAGACGGTAATGGTAACGGGCGACAATATGTTGACCGCACTCTCAGTGGCCAGAGACTGCGACATCGTGAAGCCAGGTACGCCTGTGATCGCCGTCTCGACGAATCAGCAGAATCAGATGAAACCACAGATTTACTTCACAAAGAGCGATAGTCAACCATCACCAACTTCACCAAATAGTCAGCCCGATCTCAGCGAAATATCCGATCTGAACAGTGTGGTTAGTTTGGATACTGTTGAGAGCGGTTCCTTCGGTAATACTAAGTTGGAGAACAATATCAATTATTTATCGGATGAGTAAGTATCTTATATATCTGTGTTCTTAAGCAATGTGACAAGATCTATTAAAATTATTAGATAAATGTAATTGATTTATTGATCTGTTTGAATTACAGTGTGCAATATTCCAAGAACAAGTACGCGTTCGCGTTGACAGGAAAAACGTGGGCATTAATAAAGCAGTATTATCCAGAATTGATTCCTAAAGTGGTGACTCGCGGTGCCATTTTTGCGAGAATGTCGCCGGATCAGAAGCAGCAGTTGGTTCAAGAACTGCAGTCCTTAGGATATTATGTTGGTAAGTCTGAACACAAAAAAAAACATCTATATTAATCAATGTATAGCGTATCCTTAAGCTTCCGAAGCTGACGTTAAAATTTGTAACATACAGTTACACGTTAGATAAGACCCATTTAATTTATGTTAATGATACTGAAAGTGAAATGGACTATCAGTTCCTAAACGTCACCTAGATCTAAAGAATACTTATAACTCCTGCCAAATTCCAGTGAGAAATGATAATGGAATCGATGTCGATTTTATATTGAAAGAATCAAATCAAATCGACATCGATTTTATTGTCATTTCTCACTGAGATATCAATTTCAATCCAGCATTGTATATCCTTATAAAATTATTTAATCTCTTCTTCTTTATGTTCTTGAACTTAATAATCCTAGGCTTCTTATACATGTATAAAATAAATATGTGATAACAGTTAAGATCGATCCGATTATAAGTCGTTTTCATACGGAGCCGCACGACATCACTTGTACAAGGGCCTCATGAATCACGGATCATCATAGATCATTGTTTAATATAATCTAGAATGTTTAAATTAATATTACTGTACAATACGATTGTTACTTTCGTTGCCTATATTTTTATCTAAGTGGCAGTGATTAAATTTTATTGTATCGAAAAACATCAATCATTAATGTGGTACAATAGTAATTTTTTAACCGCATAAAAATGTTTTAATATTGTTTTTGTAGAAAATACATATATGAAGATAAGGTGCAAGTTTTTGCGCATCTTTTCTCAACATACTACGTTACAAGTAATAATCTAACATTTATTTTTTATAGTTTTTTATTAAATGTATAATTGATATCATAGATCAATAAATACTAATGATGAAATCACCAATACGGAACAATACAGAAAATATTTGTACTAAAAGGGCAGTTTATACTTTTAAGCAATTAATTTTTATTTTATCGTAATAAATTTTATATTAATGGTTATTTGTTTTCTTATAACTTTCTATTTTATTATTATTTAATAATTATTAATTATATTTTATTGTATTAGTGACTATGCTAAGAATGTATAATATTAATTGAAAATACTTTTCAATTTTACCGTTATTTTTTACATAATTCTATTATTTTGTGTATGACTTATGGTATGGGACACCATGGGACATCATTTCTTGAAAAATATTTTTTATTTTTTCCTTGAAAACTAATAAATACTTACTAAATTTTAAAATATACATTATACTTTAATTATTAAAAAAAAATGATACAAAATTTGTATATTTAGATGCACTTTTACGAGTGTGAATTTTTGTGACTTATAGTGACTCTGTGTGTAAATATAAAAAATATAAATATTAAATTTATTTTAAGATTTTACTGCGATCCACCAATGGCATAGTACTGTTGCATAAGAATATTAGTCTTAGCAACATATACATATCTATTATTATTGCATGCGATTATTGTAAGTAAAAATATAAATTATAAAAATATTACTTGATAATGCAAAAACAATTATATACGTAATTGAACTAATAAGCCATATATAATTACAAAGTGATGTCGAATCAGAAACGTTGTAATAGTAAAATTCACGAATAAAAAATCATCAAACGTCTCATTTAACGGAATACAAAATTTTTTGGCAATAATTCAAATTTGCAGGTGTAATATAGAGAATATCCTAATTGAGTGGGTTCATTAAATCTATCTCAGCTCCGGAGGGTTAACGGAATGACAAATACAGCGAATCAAAAAGACAACTTGTGAATCTTAATAATTTGACATAAAATTTCTTTTTTCGCAGCCATGGTGGGAGACGGTGCTAACGATTGCGGTGCATTGAAAGCGGCGCACACCGGGATATCCTTGTCGGACACGGAATCTTCCGTTGCCTCGCCTTTCACCAGTCGCGAAACCAACATCTCCTGCGTTTTGACGGTAATACGAGAAGGTCGCGCCGCATTAGTGACTTCCTTTGGCATTTTTAAATACATGGCTGCCTACTCACTCACGCAATTTATCTCGGTGATGCTCCTCTACAACATTGAGTCCAATTTGACGGACATCGAGTTTTTGTACATCGATCTCTTCATCATTTCCATATTCGCTTTCTTTTTCGGTCGCACAGAGGCCTATGAGGGCCCACTGGTAAAAATAGCACCGCTCAATAGTCTCATCAGCACATCACCAATTCTCAGTCTGATCACCCAACTTCTGATCGTCGCGATTTTCCAATACACGAGTCTCTGGCATTTGCAGCAGATGTCATGGTTTAAACCATTCAACCCTGCCGTAACCGAGGATAAGGATGAAGTGAGCTGCTTAGAGAATTACACGGTCTTTATCGTCAGTTCTATGCAGTATATCATCTTGGCGGTAGCGTTCTCCAAAGGACCGCCATATAGAAAATCCCTCTTCACTAATTATGGCCTACTTACCTCTTTCGTGTTTCTTAGTCTCTTTTCCATCTATCTCGCAATATGTCCTTTCGAGTGGCTGGTTAATTGGTTCGAACTCATACTGCCCGACGATTTGGGCTTTCGCTTCATCCTGGTCGGCTATGGCATAGTAAATTTTGTGATTGCGCTATTGGTTGAGTATCTGTTTGTAGAGTACCTCGTGTTTGGCAAATTGCGATATCGCTGGCATGACTTGGATAAATCTCGACGGAAGTTTTTAGCTATTGAACGAGACATGGCGCGCGATCTCAAGTGGCCGCCGATCTCCCAGGAGCCACTACCGGAAGCGGCGCCGGATTTATTAATCCGACAGAACGTCACCGAGATCAAAATCGAGAAACGAATTACTGAATCATGCCTTCCCGCCGATAGTAGCTTTATGAACAATTCACCAATTTGCGCCGGTTTCAAACACTTTGGATCCGCTCGCGAAGTTACTCTCAATCCCAGATCTCTTTTCAATGATTGCCGAAACACAGTGTCAATGCAAACGGTGCCGTGCTTCGAGGACTTATCACCGAAGCAATCAAATGTGGAAACCACGGTGAAACGACGACACAATTCGGAATCAGCAAATGGTATCAATCGTTACGAGAAACCTTACATGAATCACAATACTAATCCCATCGCCACACTTCCAAGGAATCCTAACGCGACTCTTCAGCCGCAAAAGCTAAGAGACTTCAAGAATGTCCTAGTGCACAAGAGCGACGATCGAGTGTCGAATACTCAGAATGTGCTTGAGTTAGATATTTTGCCGTCCTGAGATCCGAAATACTCAAAGATCGGTCGAGGTAGCTAAGTATCTCTAAATCAATATAATAGTTAATTCAAAATATCATTTGATCTTTATTTTTAACGATGCATTTAAGACAATAGAGCAATATTTATAATCGATATAAAGCATAATCCGAAAGTCTGGATCTTTGATAAGGCGGCTTTTTGTGTTTTGAATGTGTTCTGATGCTCTTGTATCGTTCATTTTCAAGCAGCATAATTGTACATAAATAATTTATAGCGCATACATTTATTGCGCGTTGCATTTTAACAGAACGAAAGGATTTAAAAAGAAATTGCGAATGATGATTGCAAATCAATGCATGATAGAAACGATTGATTCGTTGCTAAATATTCATCTCGAAAATCATTCCATGGCGAAATTTGCCTTGAACTAGAGGTGATATTGCGAAGGGTTTGGTAACTGTCAGAGACGTGCATGTTTAGGTATAATTCATTAAGGAATAGAATTTTCCTGAATACTATGCGATGTTAATAAAATAGATCAAACCGATAGCGATATGTTAGATATTATCGCGATTTGGGGCTGATTACGTACTGTTAAATAACTACGTCAAAATAAAAAAAATATGTACTTATGAAATATGCGCAACAAATATAGAAGATACTTAATCGCGTTGGTTTACTTGCGACACTAGTTCGTGTTGGAAAGTAGCGGTTGTCAAATAAAATATGTTTTTAATGTAGATGTTGTTCACTCATTTCATCATTGCTTCTTTTATAGCGTAGTAAAAAGAAATCAACAGCGTTGGAACATGTTAAATAAAAGTATCTAAAAAAAGTATGTTAAAAAAGTATCTAAATGCAGTATCTAGATACTTTAGCTATCTAAGTGCATTACCTAGATCCTTATACCTGTATTTGTACCTGAATATTCTTTTGTACAGTATCTTTTAAATTTAGATAAGTAGGTACAAGAGTATTTATACATTTTGTGTCGTTATATTAGAAATTTAATTTTGGATTGTTATATAAATTATCATTTTTCTTTAAACCTCAACTTTGTGCAAGTGTTATGTGCAATTTTTATGTGCTTCACCGCCTAGATAATTTCATAGCGAATTCAATTAGGTGCACTCAGTGCGTACTGATGCACATTAAAGATGTCGTACATATATAAATTGACATAAATATATGTGTTTAATATGAATATAAAAATGAATTAAACCTTGAAATCTTCAATAGTTTGTTATACTGTTAAGTAAAATCTGTATTTTATAATTTGAAATATTTGCATTTTACTTTTATGCAGATTAAATCAGTACAATAGTTTTAATCATTAGTATGTTCTTGTTAATATTCAGTGGAATGATGATTAAAAAAAAACCTCATAAGAAGAAAAAACTGGTCATGTGATGTGATCTCTCTTGATTGATTCCAAGCATCGAAGCTCGATCTATATAGAGCTTATTACGGATACAAGAAAAATTCCTCACATTAGTAAGTAGTATTTTTTTTAGTCTCTTTTATGATTGACATTTTTACTATTATATTATAGTTGAAAATTAAGCTGAATTGGAAATTAAGTTTTTTTTTATTCATATCTTTATCAAAGAACTTTAAATTTTCATTTCAAATAAAGATCAAGGGAACAATTGTAAAGATTCAAATAAAAATAAAAATAAGATATTCTACAAAATGCATGGTAGCTTATCGCTTTGACATGTGTACGATTATAATTTTCATTATATAAATTCATTATATAATTTTCATTATATTTTTGTATGTACCTACTACATAAGTAGTAATTTCATATAAAATAAAACTTGTTTATTTGTGTTTTTCAATTTGTTGTTTTTCTTTTTCTATTTTTTTCTTTTTTTCTGTTAAAAGTACCTAAAAAGTATTTAAATTGTTCAGATACTTTTATACTGTACCTACTTGTATCAATACTCAGAGATAATTAATTTAAAAATATTTATACTAATAATTAAATACTTTTTCCACACAATATCTATATCTATACATAAATACTTTTCAAACGATATCTGTTCCAACACCGGAAATCAATAATATTGTTTCTTTTAGAAAAAATCAAGTATAGAAAAATGAAAAAAATTGCTCATGTATAATTATGTGTAATTTTAAATACAATTTTATATGAGTAATTCCTTTACATTTCTTTAAACTTGATTTTATCTAAAACAAAAAAATACAAAAATCATCTTATAATATGTCTTAAGCCCAATTGCACCAACGTTACTTTGATTTTAAAAAACTCTCTCTATTTTTCATTTTAAAACGAAAAAAGATAGGGACAAAGAGAGTTTTAAGTCTCGCTTAAAATTAGAGTAACGTTAATACAATCATAAATTAGATGAGAATTTTAAACAAAGTTTTATATGTATTTTCTTTGTTTTATGAAGAGACTTCTTTGTTTTACAAAGAAAGTTTTCAGGTATTTTCCTCGTATTTTCCCAGGTAAATGTTGTGAACATTTTTACAAAAAGTATTAATTGTTATTAAAAATATAAAATCACCTTACATTATACAAATATTTTTCACAATTTCTGCGTCCGTGGCGAGAATATAAAACTAGTGCGAATAATATCGTTAATATCAATGCATATATGCAACGATTACTTTTTAACAAAATAATATAAAGAAATTACTCTTTGAAATTATATATTTTTAGTGTAATGCATGGTCTACAATAAGTAGTAGCAGTAGTGGATTAAGGAATAAATATAGAAATCGACCAATCATAGTTAAATGTGAGAAAATAATCAATCATGATCGATTTCTACGCCTCCTTAATCCATTACTGCTACTACCCATTGTAGATCATGCATAAGTTATTTGATTTTAGCGACAAGAAATCATATTGAAAAATGATTCTTATTGAAGATACTGTAATTCATATCTTTATATCCTGGTACCGTATTGATCAATTTTCAAGAGCTATTATGCGCATATCCTTATCTTTAGATATACTGATATAGTATTGATCAATTGTCTGAAGCTGTTACACGCATGAGCATACTCCTGTCTTTTATATTATGGTACTGTATTTTGATCAATCAGTTCAAGCATTTTATATTAAAACAGGGAAGTCTGAGAGTGGCCGTGCCCGGGATTTAACTGCTATTTTATTTTGAAGCATCTCTATGTCCATAAATTGAACTACTTAGCCAATGTCCATGATCCATCAGTAATGTTAACTATTTTTTGATTTTTATGTTTTACGCTGTGCCAACGAGATACTATTAAGATGATAAAACTTAAAACCTCCTGTTTTATCACATAAGCAACAAAAAAGTATTTCTTATACAAAAATTATACGTGCTTACGTATAATTTTTGTATAAGAAATACTTTTTTTTCTTTCATAAATTCGAAAATCCTTTTCTAGGATTAAAGTATACGCATTAATACATGTTTGGATATTGGAGTCTATGCCGAGAACGATCAAAAATTTTGAAATTGATATATTTTTTACCATTTCTTATAGCGATTTCGGCTGGAACGCACCGACTGCATATTTCGGGTGTCGGTGCAACTGGTGTGTTCGACTGGTTGACTAGTGCAATTCCTTGCCAGTGTCGAATGTCTGGGTTCGGTACACCGCACAAATGTACGCAAAGTGGCCCCAAATTTGTTGGAGCCAGTAAGCTTAATGTTTTCATGAGACGCTGAAAAGCAGCGTGTGCGACGTGGTATTAATTTTATCGCTAGTGTCTGATTTCGGGTGTGGATTCACTTGATGCTACAAACGCTTCGAAATTTTTACTTGACCAATTGGAAGAAAGAAATTTACCTGACCTATCAAAAAATACTTTAAAACATTCGTAACAGCTTAGTGGACTGTAGCCTTCATCTGAAAATTGATATCCAACCTATAGCGTCAATTTTTTGAGTGATTTATATGTACTCATGGATTTTTTAACATCATCGTTATCAAGTGAATTCATATTGACAAAACATAAAAAAAGACAGAGCGAAAATAAAAATTACATTGAAGAAGTTGTGCGAAAATGTTCGATAAAACAGTAAATTTTGCAAATTAAATTAAAACTATAGTAATATAATATTTAATATTACAATAATATTTAATATTATAATATAATATATTATAACATTTAATATTTATGTTTGATATTTAATATTTATGTTTTTATTATGTATTTACATTATATTTACGCGTACTATTCAAAAAGAAAGCCATCGCAATAAAATCGGAATAAACGTGGCCGTTTGTATCTCAAAAAAGCACAAAGAAGAAAATGAAAATTAAAGAACCTTACAGGGAGAGAATGGTAAACTGCATCATGTCCTTTGATTGGGTATGGGAATCAAAGTTCCAAAAAATGAAAGAGATTGGAGAAAACTGGTCGGCCCGTGACGTCCTGATTGGATGTGGTGCAATCACGTGATGCAATTTGTCACCCTCTTCCTGTAAGGCTTTCTAGTAAAAATCGGTCATCTCAAATCGAACAGATTTCTCGTGAAAATCGTGAATGATGCAAACAGTCGAAAATGGCAAAACTATTCTTCAAATATTGGACGCTTGTGACCATCATACCGCTCGCGACCAGCATTATAGATCAGGACAGGAAAAATGTTCATATTTCGTGAATCTCGTGTTCACTTGACGAAACGTACACTGCTGCGGTGGTAGGTATTAATAGTATACAACGGTCTCGATATGCACCAGTGCACGTTAGTGTTTCCAGCCGAAATCGCTTTTAATTCATATAATCGTGCTACATTCACAAATTGTGGATCAGAAATATTCATCTTACATGCGCGAGATGTTTATTTCACTTATGCGATTTTCACCAATGTAGATTAATTTTAACATCGGTTCAATTTACTCTTCGTCTTTTTCTAGTTTTAAAGAGAGTTAGAAAAAGAGGAAGAGTAAGTTAAATCGAGATTAAAGTTAATCTACATTGGTGGAAACGAACATTAATGCTCATTTTTCTAGTTTTAAAAATTTAAAAATAGAAAAAAACAGAATAATCCAGTAAAGGAGAATGAATTTAAATGGATTGACATTTTTTCTATCCCAATACGTATTTTAAATAGCAAATATTTTTTTTTGGATTTAATTGAATTCAGTTGAATTCAATTAGATGCATTTGGATTGAAAAACTAGAAAAACATTTCCTATTCAAAATTTTGTATTCACAATTGTGTTATTATGCACAGAAAAAGCTAATATTATTTTTAGATTGAAAAGCATAGAGATATGCTCCATGCAATTCCTATAAATGAATAAAAATGCAATATTTCTGAAAATCTGAATCCATTTCAATTCATTTCAATCCACTCTCGTTTGCTGGGCTACAAAAACAGGCTACTAAATTTATTAGTAGCTTGTTTGTTTTATAGTTTAGTATACTCGCAAAGAAAAGAGGACTGATAAAATTGATGGTAGAGGGCCTCGTTTTTGCTAAATTCCCAGATAGATTCAGATTTTCAGAAATATTGATTCACTAATGTTAAAAAACTTTTCAATCCTGAATGCATTTTTATTCATTTGTAGGAATTGCATGGAACATATCTCTGCCTTTCAAACTAAAAATAATATTAGCTTTTT